AACGGCTCAGCTGTATGGATTTATGTTTGCCTAATATCACTGACCCTATGTACATTCTATAACTGAGATAAGTAGTTCTTCCAGCTATTCAAAATGTTATGGGAATCCGCAAGTAGATCACCATTCTCATCCTTCACTAAGTTACTGCTAGGCTGGTAACCCCTCTTAAAGTCGTTTATTCCTCTGTACAGGTCTCTAATGTTCCTATTCTTACTGTTCATTGCAAGCTCATCAATTTTGTCTTTCAGATATTCCCTCTTCTTATTCCTGAAACGCCTGCTGGTTTCACGTCTTATATTGTTCAGATTATCCCCATTTATTTCGCTTGGATCATTTAACCATTGCAATTTTGTTTTCTTTGGTCTAATAATTTTGAACATCTTTCGCCACTGCCCTGAGCCAACCTCCCATACAAACTTCTGACCTTCCACGTGCAAAATCTCATGTCCATTTTCTTTAGCTTAGGTCGTTTATCCGAGGAATCCGTCCAGGTCCTTGACTTTGTGTGCATTTTCGTAACAAAGTTATTTTTTACGGTGAGGAGTTTTTAGCCCCACTCCCAACCCCCAAGCTAGAGGACCATCCCTTGTCGGCTGTCTGCGACTGCTTTTTCAATATATTCGCAGTTTCCTCCATCCGCAACCTGAGGACGTGCCATGCCCTGGTGACAAGGGACCCACCTAACATGGAGCTTGTGATTCAGTGAGACTGTTAAGAGTTCCGGTGTTATAAACCCGTGAGGACAAGTCCCTATGAAGTCACTGGGTTTTTTTTTCAATTGACCTAATCCTTCCGGCAGCACTATGGCCCTGGGGTTCACTCAGCCTCTAACAGAAATGAGTACCAGGAAGTAATTAAATAATTTTCCTGGGGAGTAAAGCGCGGCCGGCGCGTAAGGTTGACAACCTTACCCTCAACGTCTCACAACCCTATGGGCCTTCACGGCCTGGTACAGGGATAGCTTTACATACTTTTTTATTAGAAACAGCACGTAATATCTCTTTCTTATCAATAATTTTGGAACTGTACAGTGAAATAGCTCTATCTCGGAAACCGTTCGGAATAGGACACATGTGCATACACACTTTTTTTTTTGCCTAGAATGTCCGTTAAGATGACGTCCCAGAATGTTGGCCTTTCCTCCTGGGACATCCTGTATATGATTTGGCTTGCCGTGAGATTTTGAATGTGTTGTAATGTTCCGCCTCGTTGAAGAAGTTGGGACCAGTGGAGTTGACAAAGCGTGGTTAAGTCAAGGACCCCGTTTCGGCCCCAGCAGTGGGTCACGTATCGATCAGGTCTGTACGTATGTTTAGGTCTATGCAGTCAGTTTGCATCTCCTTGGGTAGAGACCAAACGCTGAATAATTCTAGAGTGTCCAGCGTGTTGTCCGGAGCAGCTCGGAGCGCGTCGAATGTCACTTAGTTGAGGAAGACTGCATAAATACTTGATCCGTGTTCTGGCCAGTGCACAGCTCCCTCTTGCCCCAGCGGCCAGGTTGCCACGGGCAACCGCATTGTAGTGTACGAGTAACCACTCCAAATCCAATTCATGTGCCTGCAATGTAAATCCGAAGACGTAGACTTTATAACGTCGAATGGTGAGGGGAATTGGAAAGGATTTGGAAGGAAATGGTCTTAAATTGATGGGGATACTATCGTGGCACTTACCAGGAGGGACCGAGGAAAACTACGAGGAACATCACTCGGATTAGTTGGCGTCCTGGCCGAGATTCGAACGGAGCACCTCCCGAAAACATGTCCAGAGCGTTACCGCTACACCATTACGTTCAGGCGTTAGACACAATGAAACTGCATAACACAAATGTCATGTAAGAACGGCCTCTCGTGTTCATATTGTCACATGTTAGTGACTAGACACGGGGTATGGGTTGATAATTACATTTATTGAACTCTTGTGACTCGTACCTACAAGAAATTATAACGTTCTCATTAATTGGCGCACTCTGTTTCTCAGTACAACACACGCTAAGTCTTCTCTGTTTTCAGTAGCCGTTGCCTGCTAACGGATCTCGACAGTATCCTCTGCTTCATTAGCGGATAGCGACTATCTCATAAGCAATTCAATCGTCCAGTCTCAACTCATGACTACAGCTCACGGCCTTTTGGCCAAGACTGTCCACTCACTGGCTCACACTGGTCGGGCGGTTAAATTACTGTTGGCCTCGCCAGCACAGTCACTCTCCGGTCCAAGTCCCGCGGTACTCATCATATGTTACTGTCTCAGAATCCAGACTCCCAATCTGGAGGGTCAGGTCCCCTTATTTATATCCCTCAGGGACAGGGTTACCCAGCTACACGCCCAAACACTGGGTACTCCTTTCGTCGCCTTCCAAGACTCACGGGGCCACGGCGTAGGTATTCGAACCCTCCTCCGCGCGGAGGTGGACGGTCACAAAGAAGTCGCCAAAGTCTAAATCAAAGTTACTTTAATACCGCCAGTCAATTCGTCTTGATGTTAAGCCCCTTGAGGCTCACGACCAAAGATTTTTCTTCTTTAACTGAAACCTTGCGGTCCCTCTGTAACGAGAAGATGGGCTTGTCTTTTATGAATATGCTTGGCTTTTGTCAAGTGTACATATCGCATTTATAGCGTGTAACTGAAAATTCTTGCTTTTGCACTGTATGCAGGTCCTCTGTCAGGCCAGGCTTTGCAAAGCCGATCATGACTATCTCTGTCTTATTCTACAACTGTAGTTTGGTCACTTGAACGGTCGTAAGCTTGACCACCACCAAGTTTAAGCCTCGTATTATAGTTTACATATCTGGCTTCGCCTTGTTATATACCGCTATATCACGAACATGTTCATTATCATGATTTCGTATGATTTCTGCTTATCACCTGCCCAATTTTGTTACATGTGCGTATGCATACGGAACGTTGAAAGCCGTGTGCAAATCGCGGACCGGTGTGCACCTTGGAAAATTCCCAATGGTGCGGAGAACCGTGTTTTGCCTGCTCTGCAATTTTAAGAGGTGGATGTCTGCCGGTAATTCCCAGGCGGGGCAGGCTAAGTCATTACTGATCTGATCAGTGCCTTAAAGAGGGTTAGTTTAATGTTGGCGCTTAGTCGCACACGTTTGAATAGGGAGTCGATTCCAATAAATGTTCTGAAGGCCTTGGCTTCAATCATTTCTAATCTTTTAAGCAAGTTATATAACGACGCTGTCAGTATGGAGACTGTACAACATGGAATTTCGCGCATTTTCATTTCGGTGGTTGAACAACTGGATTTGGGAGCTTCATTTATGCATGACTGATGTCCATGGAGCCGAGTCATTAAGAAGACAGCACTCGCTCATCCACTCAAAGCCCCAATATTTTACAGAACCCGAAAATGTATTACCGTGTTCACAAGAGCCCGCTACTAATTTCTATTCGGAGCCAGATGAATCCACTCCACACCCGCGATATAATTTATCTAAGATTCGTTTAATGTTATCTTCTAGTGGTATCCTTTCTTGTGGCTGTGAGGAGTGAAAATCCTCTTGTTATTCCGGCCGTCTTCAGGTCAGGCATTCTGCTCGACTCCCACCCCCCCATTTGTGCGTAAAGGGAATTCGGGTCACATAATCAACAGTAGGTTCTGGGAAGAACCAAGCGTTTACTTTCCTTTCACTGCAGATTGAGTATTTAATGCCTAAAGTGGAGCGACACTTTATTCTGTATGCGTACGTAAGTCAAAACAGTAACATAAAGTCGAGTTTTATAGAATGTCAATTGCGCATGTATTAAAACAGTTTAAAGCTTAAAGTTGTTGCCAGAGCCTCGCCAGTGAGGACAGGGTAGGAGAGGCTGCAATGTTGGTATCGCTGAAGGGAAGGATTTATGAAGTATACCGCTGAGATGGCCTCAGTTGCTAAGTTTCATGAGGATCAGTTCAGGAATTCAAATACTGCTAGGGGTATTGCCCAACAGTTTGAGAGGCTGTGGCGTTGGTATTACTGATATTTTTAAGTACATCTTGAGAATGGCCTCAGATACCTGATATCCATACCAAGTTTTGAAAAGATAGGTTCAGGCATTCAAAGGTTTTTTTTTTGAAGGATACACATGCAGACATGCACAGACACACAGACAGCAAGGTGAACTCATAAGTGCCTACCTTTGTTTTTTTCCCCAAGACGAGGGAAGTCACTAGAAATGAACGCATCAGATCTGTTATGCCAGGTCTACATATCATAGCTTGTTCAGTTGTAAATTTAGTATTTTTGAGCTCTACATACAAGAATTAGATCTTGAACCACACTGGAAACTATCGAGTACTTAGTACGTAGCTTACATAAAGTTCTAAATACACTGAAAAATAACTTAATAAAATTTGTAAGGGTAAAACCCATTCTTATAGCAAATGAGCTACTTCCGGCCACCTCCTTCTGCATCCTTCCCGATTGATCAGTCACAATTTTCCCTGCTTTCGATCTGTCATCAGAAGCAACACGGTTTGACTCCTGCTGGTCCACCTCGACTCCTAAATCTGGCCAAATCATCCAATGCACTTTCGTTTGCTTTATCCGCCCAGCTGTTTCCGTGGAGCTTCAGAAGACGACCATTTTATATAGATTTGTTACCACCCCTCCATAAAACCCCCAACCTTCATGGCAGGGGGTGCCCATGCCCTATAGAACCTGCCTTCACTACGGCTGTTCTATTTGCGACATGCTCAGTTTGGATTGCGGCTGGGACATCGGCATAGACCTTCAGAAATGCAGCATTTTGCCCATGCCGTGTATTTGTGTTTCGTATGACTCTCACAATAAATAGGGATTCTTTCGATTCTTTCCCTAAGCAGTATTAACCATCTGGTATTTGTAATGTAGATGCAGTGTCTTCTGTGAGGTAGGAACTAATATATTAAATACTATTTGGATGCATGCAAGACTTCTGAATGTTGTAATGTTATAGAACCTCATAAGCCACTAACAAAGCAAACATACTGAGGGGACACCTGAAAATGAGTCGCAGTTCATTTGTTGCAGTGACTCGTGATGTGGTGATAGTGGTGTTAAGTCAGGGGGACCCATACCATGCCTCTCTTGCTCAGAATCTTCGGAGCAGCATCCAGCAGCAAGCCCATGAGGCAAATCAGGTGGGTGCCTGCATCAGACATGCCAGGTTCAGTTGCACGCACGCTCAGTACCTTGAAGCTCAAAGTTTCTTACTCTGTAACCAGCCAAATGATCAAGCCCCCAGCTTACGAGACCAAGGACATGGTAATGTGCTGCCTAGTCAGGGCGACTGCATGTCTTGCAGATGGATGGGTGTGAAACAGTGATGGAATCATTGTATTTCATTCAGGATGATAAGAGGTGCCTGTAAACAAACAAGCTGTGTTCTTAGCTTTGGCTTCTCAGTTTGACATTGGGAGAAGTATGGAAAGAGGCAGTGGTTGCAGCTGCACTGTGGGAAGGAGGGAAGGTGACACACTAAAGCCTACAGTTACAGTTAATCCGGATGTTGAACAATACAGACCAAAATATAAAAAATGAAAAAGTATGTTCACAGTTGAGTACATGTGCTTTAAAAGACACATGACATTTAGGAACAAAAGGGATTAGAGTAAGAGGATTTTCAGACTATGTTGAGGGTAGCTGGAGAGACTGAAACCACACAAGAAAATATCAAAGATTGGCTTGAGCTGGATGAAGGAGACCTTGCATTTCAGCTTCTGACAGAAGACGACATTGCTGGAGTGATATTTTTGTATTTATTTTCATTAGCACTGCCTATGTTATTACATTTCTGATTTATTTCTTCTCTAAGTTTTTTGGCTTTTATGGCTACCTTTTGCTTCAGTAATCCGGATGACCCCTCCCCATAATCAATCCGGATTAGTGAGTGTTCAGTGTACGTTGACTATTCTGTGATGTCTTAATATCCTACTGAGATAACGAAGAGAGGCATCATGTGCACTGTGAGAAGAGCACCTCTCTGCCTGTAAGCCAGTAAGAACCAAATGTGGTATCGCTAGTTACCGATGCTTTGTTTATATGCACTCTGCAGACATTCTAAATGGGGTGTAGTAGAGAAAAACTGACAAACTTGGAGAAAAGTCTGCTGTGGTGCAACTTCGTCCGCCAAGAGTTTAATGTGAAGTAACCTACCTAGTATTGAACTTGAGGCCCCATGGTGAGAAGCTTGCATCTAACTGCTTGTGATATAGCATGGCCATCACAAGGCTTTGTCTTCTCGTTCATAAATACTGAAGACTCTTTCCACTTCACATAAACCGGATGATACAGCTACATTTCAGCGACATTATAAGATCTGCTTAATGTTTAAGTACTCTTCATATAAGCTGTCTTCTGATACAGGAAGTAACTTATGAGGGGAATTCATGACATGTACTTTCCCTTAAATGATAAATATTTTGTTGTTCTGGGTCAGGATATGGACTATTGGAGGGCTCTTGTGAACATGGTACTGGACCTTCAGGTTCCATGAAATGCTGGGAAGTTCTTGAGTAGCTTCACCATTGGCATCTTCTCAAGAAGAGCTCAGCTCCATGAAGTTAGTTAGTTGTACTGAGAATGGTGTTTTAATGGTCATCAATAGAGGAGATGATAAGGGCCTGTCATGGCCACAGTTATCCTGTTGTTTTCCAGTTCACATGTCTGGCACGTGTGTATGTGTGAGTTATAATATATAGTTGTTTGTTTAGGTTGTGCCCATAGTGCACCTGACTCATGAAGACTTCCCTCATCCTGGAGTCTGGACAGTGGTCCCTCTTTTGTCTCAGTAAGTCAAAAAATTATTTTATCGTGGTGTTGACATTGTCATAATTGAGGGATAAGTTCAGAAACAAGGCTGTGACCTGCCTTTTCTTTTTGTTCATGATCTAACAATGCTGCCAGTAAAGATGTCCCTCTGATTAATTAAGGACCACATGTTGAAGAGGTATGAAGGATTTAAGATGTAGCTGTGCATTATATGCATTCTTAATCTTAGCACTGAAATTGAGGTGAAGGGTCACCTGTGCATCCCAGAACCAATCTGAATGCTGTGGAGAAGAGGCAAGTTTCTTCCCCCTGCCAGAAATGGAACCCTAATTCCTCAGTTGTCCAACCTGTACTTTAGTCGCCATCAGTAGCTGAGACTGTAGCACCGAATGGTAAGATGGTTAGTGAAGAATGAATTGGAAAGTATTTGGTATGAAGCATATGCCTGGAGGAACTAAGGGCAACCATGAAAAATCACAGGCCAGGTGAAGGGGCCCTGTTTGAAATTTTACCTTGAATATCACACATACAAACCAGTGCTAACCACTCAACTGCTTTGTTTGGTATAGCTTGGTCTTGAAACTGAGTTCTTTGACAAGATAAATTGATGCTTGATAGAGTTACTGACAACATTGTTAAATAAACTGCAGATAATAGATATGATAATTGTGCTTTACTTGCAAGCTATCCAGGAGATCCTATCTGTTGTACCAGAAATTAATTTAAGTCAAAACAAAGTGATCCCTGTAAGCTGCTACATGTGTCAGCATTGACATAGGTCTCAAATATAAATCATCTTTTACATGTCTTGAGGCTATGTTTTGTGCCAATGTTATGTTATTACTAAGGTAATTCTTTCAGATCTTACCACATCTCAGATGGTTAGTCACTGATTTTTCGCTGTGGAGCTCAGGGTTCAATCCCAGCACAGTCTCTGTGAGATTTGTGGTAGTGGGGTGGGTTCTGTCTGAATATGTTGGTTTTCCCATGTCATTTGTCATCCCACCAATGCTTTTTTTTTTTCTTATCATCATCTTAGGCTGGTACAAGGGCCCATTTAGGGTGCTAGTCTAACCCCAGCTCAGAGAATAATATTTAGTATTTGCCTGAATGTAAGCCACACTTTTTACCCCTAGCTGTTGAAATCATGGTGGGGCTTATAAGTGGCTCTTAAAGAGAAATGTAATTGGTTTTTCTGGATACAGTGAAGCTACAGTCAGTGGAGTCATCATAGAAATGCGTCACACTCAATTTTTTTACACTATTAGAGCCTCTCAGAACATTAATTTTTTTTGCCTTGGCACTACAGCCCCAGTGGGCCTAGGCCTACCTCCATGAACTCCGTTCTCCCTTAGGTTTTACGCATATGGTAGGACTCCTTGGGCGAGTGATCAGCTCATCGCAAGGCCTCTACCTGTAGACAAACACAGAAAAACGCACACAAACATCCATGCCATGAGTGGGATCCGAACCCACGATCCCGGCTTCCGAGCGAGCGAAGACAGTGCATGCCTTAGACCGCTCGGCTACCATGAGCGGCGAACATTAAATTAACATGTTTTAATCTATGTTTATAACTACATGGAGCAACATCAACCTTTTTTCTCTGAGCTGCTCTGATTGCTATGTATAATGATGAGTGTGCGTAAAAGCCCCCACCCCCCATTTTAAGACCATATAATTCTGGGGTTGCAGTTTGTATTCTGATAAATGCAGTATTTATGGTATGTTTGCAATGGAAATTTGCAAAAATGATTTTTGGAATGATTATGTGCATTATTTGTTCCAGATTGTATACAATACATGGGTCCAACAGTTCATGGCTGATCTTCTGTGAAGGTCACACCACAATTGACTTGTTTCAGATGTTGGAGCTTCTAAATAAGTACAGTCCTACAGAGGTAACCACAGTATTCAACTTGTGTCTTAGTGCAATACAGTGCAGGTCTTGACACTCATGTGACAAATACATATACAGATTGTGGGAATGGGAGGTTGATGGAACTGACAGAATCGTGTCCCGTGGTGAGCTCTGGTTCTGCTATCAGAGGATACAGTATTTTAACATGTTAAGTATTGTTTTTATAAACAGCATTTGCTAATATATAGGATTTGAAGTTCTCACAGTGGTGGTTGTGAAGAGTTCTGTCTTCTGGGATATACTGCCATTTCTTACTTAGCTTATTTTTTGACCACAGAAGAGACATGATCCTCCAAAGTGCTGCTTGACTCTCAGCGGACTATATGACATATCCCAGAAGATAGAATTCTTTGATAATATACATTTTTGTGTGTGAGTGTGAACTTCGAACACATAAATATGTCTAAAACCTCTAAATGCATACATTAGAACTGGCTTGAAAATAGTGTACTCCATAATATAGCATGGCAAATTGTGAGTGGAGTTTTTTTGCAGTTTATTAATCTTACTTGGGGCCTGTTTATTAAATTTTAGTAATGGTTTATGATATATATGAAAAAAATCATTTATGGTGGTATGTAAAATGGATTTCATTAAGGGTCAGTGTGGAATTAAATTCGAATTGCTAGAAAACTTCTAGTGAAAGTCTGGCATACAAGGTCAGACAAATAAATTTCAAGACTAAATATTTAAGAATTTAGTTTGAGAGCTGCAGATATTAGCAACATAGAATTTGTCCAAGTAATCTCCCTCCAATTCTGTTCAAAACGGTTTTTAAAATCCTGAACAGGAATGTCTTTCAAAATCTCTTTCACAGATTTTCTCAATATCTGAGAAACCCATTCCTTTCAGCACACTCTTGAGTTATGGAAACAGTCAGAGGTCAGCTGGAGCTAAGTCATGAGATTACGGCAAATGATCCAAGGCAGATGTGCTTTTTCCTGCCAAAAACTGTGACACTCAAAGTGAAGAATATGCCAGTGTATTGTCATGGTGAAGAATCGATGAGCAGTCTCCACAACTTCCTTCATTTGCACCTCACAGCATCAATAAGCCTTTTCAAAACAGCCATATAGAGTGTCTGATTAACAGTGGTCCGTTCAGGTATAAATTCTAAGTGGGTGATACCCCTGATGTTGATGAAGCAGATCAACATTATTTTGATCTTGGATTTTGACATCTGTTTCTTCTTTGGCCTGGGATTCACCATAAAGTGTAATGTCTCTAACTTTTCACATGGTTATTTCTTCAGTTTAATACAGAGTTCACATTCACTGTCTGTTCCATTGTATGCTGCATTTTCACATCTGGACAAAGTTGACGACACACAGTGATCTAATGAGCTACTGTTCAATGAATACTGAATGCAGCTTATCCAGACTTTCCATGTGAGCTCTATCTTGTTGTGTCACCTAATATCCCAAGTAATAGCAATGCCAAATTTGCCAGCACAAAATTAAAAGTAAGCCTTAAAACTTATTTTCCCAACTTTATATTAAATTTAAAAATTCTGTCCAATAATTTAGGCTGTCATACTCTTGATGAGTCACAGTGAACAGGCAGACATGACTGTGAGCAAATCTATGTAAGAGCATCCAGTACAAGACTTCATGAAAATCAGTCTAATGGTTCTCAAGTTATGAGATCAGAAGCCAGATATATTTTAATTATCTTAAAATGTAAGACATATGGAAACAGAGTATTGGGCACAAAATGAGTATTTCGTTTTCCTGTGTAACCTTTGGTTGAAACATTTTTTGCTCTGACAGGTGTGTAGCAATTACACATCTTATATGCTTAGAAATGCATATAGGTCTTCATGTGAAGTGTTTTATGTATTAGATTTTAAGCAAAATTGAAAATTCTCAAGAACCATTAGTGAAAGTCTCCTATGTTAGATTTTTAAAATAATGTGTTCAACAGCATTTGGTGTTAATTCTGCATCAAATACAGACAGTTTGGTGGATGTGACCCCACATAATGTGTTCTGTATTACTTTGTAAAGAATGCATAAGAATTTATTTTTTCATGCTCTGTTCTTTTTTCCCCTGCTTCAGGAACTGTTCATTGGTCACGCATTACGTGACAGAGAAGCTACTATCATTCACCATTTTGCCTTCTCAAATGATCCCCTCCAATTCAGATATCCTCACTTCGCATCAGGATTTGCCATGAGCCAGGCTTTGTTAAAAAAGTAAGTTAAATTTCCCATTGTTCTTTCAGTACAAATGCGTTATGCAGTGAAACTGCCTTGTGGTTTCTTGCTGGGAACAGATAATTGCAACCTCATGATGTAGGTTTGTGGTTTCAGCCTGACTTCCTTTTCTGAAGAACTCCATTACCATTCTTAACGAGGAAGCCAGCTATTCCAGTGGTGGAGGATTTTGTTTACATTTTCCATAATTCTTCTAGGAAATGGCTGGATGGTATTTTAAAATAGACATGGTTGCTTCTTTTCACATCTTCCCATTTCCAGTTCACAGTCGTCTTTTCACTTGACAATATGTAATCTGTGTAGTAGCAAAATTGTTGTTAAATAAATTTGCAAGCATATATTTAAAACTAATCTAAGCTGACTAATGCTTTATGATGAAATTAGCGGTGTTCTTCGAGGTCGGTTTGAAGGGTGTGATTAGCAGCATGTGCAGGGAGTTCAAAGAGAAGGAACCAAAGGTACACTATGATTAAAATGATGGTTTGGCTGTGATCACTGTGTAACTTTCTGATATGGTGATGAGTCATTCTCTCAGTCAACAAAGAGTGCTGTTGGTATTGTAGTGACCAAAGGTTTTGCTTGCTCAGGTATTTTGCCTTTCAAGTCTCTATTCCTTACTCTTGCAGTGGGGTCTATAATACAGTAGCAAGTTTTAATAATTAGGCTGTGGGCTAGACCAGTGTTCCACAACCTTTTTCTACTCGCGGCACACCATGAAGTATCCATGACTCAACACGGCACACCAAAATGTTATTCCATTTTGAGTATAAAATGACTAAAAACAAACACAAACAATGCAAGATAAATGTGCTGACTGAAGACAACTTTCAAGATGTTCAGGCATTGTCAGAGATCAGCACTTCCAAACCATCGAGATGCTTGTTGCAAGAAACTTCTGTTTCGCTGGGATCTGCATTCACAGTCATAAGGCTAATTAAAATTTCACTTGCTTGAGCTTAAGTAGCCTGATCATACAGCAACTTGTTGCTGCAAAATGTACACCACAGAGTCATGAATCTGCTCCTGCAGTTTGTAACTGATGATGCCTTACCTTAGTGGTCATGTCAGTATGCAAGATGTATGAATATGGAGTGAAGGGCATCCTTACAGTATGTATGTAGTGAATTATTTGCTTGAGAACTTCAGAATGTATCACAAAACTTCTTCATGACTGTGAGTCATTCTTGAAAGTAAAAGGGGGATAACAGGAGCAGTTATTATAAGATATAAATTTTTATCACCTTTTTTCAGTCATCAGTAATGAAGTTCTGTTACACAAATTGGAATTATTTCTATAACATAAAAGTACGAAAATTACAAATTACTTTTCAAATATATATGAATCGTCATCATTTTCATAAACTAAAATCATAAAAATATTGGCACGTATTCAAGTATCAGTTCTTAAAGCTGTCAAAGTGTAGATCGATGCTGAGTGTTCTCATGCAGTAGGTAACCTGTTCCAATCTGTCACAAGCTAACCATCGTAATGCAACCTAGTAGTGCCCAGATATGTGGTCAGTGACAAAAAGGTACATCCACAAAGAATGTGATAGAATTCATGCATGCAAGAAATGCCCCAAGTTCTATTTGTTTAGACTGTTGTAGATTTGACTAAAATGATGATCTTCTTAGAACTCAAAACTTGATGTAAAATTCAAACTCAAATTTGTGCCTCCTTCATTTTCTGATTTATGTTTAAATTTGTGATCTTTAAATCTGAATCTTCTGCCTTACTCCTTATGCCTAATTTTGTACTGAATAAATGTTTTATAAAGTTTTTCATCTTATTCATTATTTCTATGTGTGGGCCACCTTTCAATCTATGGATTCCTAGGGTAGCCCACAGTGTCAGTTTTCTGTTCTTCACTATGGCTTCCAAGCCCTACAGTATGTTAACAGTTTCTGTACACAAAATTTAGGATATTAGATTTCACACAAAGAAACCAGAAAAATGTCCAGATCCATATGTGGACCACTGTTAGTACTAGTGCCTTACCTTTCCAACTCCTTACAGCTGTGACCAATAGCTCAGGCAAACAGCTCAACCCCAGAGCAGTCTAACACAAAGTGCCATCTGAAATATGTGTTCGTTGAGGTGTAATTGGCAAGGAGAGCTATGAAAATAAAAGCAGTGGTGTCAACTGTTCTCAGCCCTTAGCTAATTCCTCCCCTTTTTTCTCTCATTGTAGCCCTGACTAAGGTTGTAAACTGTATTAAAGATGCACACTTTGTTAGATTGCTAGGTCTACTCTCATATTACAAATTTCACCAGACTGCCCAGCACCGTGTCCTAGAAGACAATAGTCACGAATTGGTTTCTTTTAGGATACAGTTAAATTCTGATGTAAATTGATGTACAACTTCATGTATATCTTCAAATTTTGTGGCTGGCATATTTCTTTGAAGTGTGGTGTTAATTGTCTTCTCTGATTTCAGAATTGCCTATCGACTGGATTGTGGCGATCATCCTGACATGGACTTTTCCATTGACCCTTCACATGAGTTGGCTCTGTACATATGGGAAAATGGAAAGGGCCCAGAACTGACACATGCTTCCCAGTTGTGCCTTAGGAATCATCCCCAGTGTGCCTCATATCCTCTAGAGTTTCATGCTTGTGTAAGTGTATGTGCTGTATGTGTGAGAGTTATATTGTCTTGAGCAGTCACATGTGTTCTGTCTTTCAGCCAGTGAACAGATTTTGATGAAATGTGGCATGGGAGATTTATTTTAAAAGTTGTCTTCATGGTATGATGCTTAGGCATAGGGGAGACTTTATATTGTATCACAGATGTGAACACTGTGTGATGTGACTCCATTCTTTGCATCTCGTGTAATGAGTATTCACAGGTCATAGATCAGCTGCATATACAGTTGCGATTATACTCATAATGATTCATGCCTTTTTCCTATGTATGTACGTGTTTGCAGAAATGTAAATTTTCTCTTTACCTGTTTCATATTTCATGTAAAGGACCAAATACGGGAACACCCCATGCTGCAGTATGATAAAATAGCCTGTGTACTATTGTCAATTTTTATGGAAGCCATGACCATTGAAGTTATATGCAAGTATTGCAAGTATTGTGGTAGAGCTTTTGGATTTACATTTACATTTACATTTATTTTCACTTCATGGATCCAATCATCTCCCCGTAGGGCTGGATATAAAACATGTCACATGTTACAAATTCATGATGACTACATATCAGTCATCCTTTGTCCAACAAAATATATAATTAGGCCTCTCACAGCTAGCTCGAGTTGTCATTACAACACACATGGGTTGTGGAAAAACCACAGTCAGATTCAAATTCACGCCTTGCCATTCCACACACACTGGCAAGCCGTTATCATTAAAACAGTTCCATTATAAAATATTAAAATTCATAACAAAGACAGACATCAGACATACATACTGTACTACTACACTTACAACAAGCAAGTCTCAACAGTATGTAATTCACGCACACAGACCGTTTATTAACTCTTAACTTCTGAGCCCCTTGCATGCTCAACTAACTCATCAATTGAGTAAAATGTGTTACTTTGTAAATAATTTCGTGAAACAAGCCTAAATTACTTTTTATTATTTTTTAAAACTGTGATATTTGACGGCAGAATATCATATAGCTTGATGCCTGAATAATACACCCCTCTCTGATAGGATGATAGATGTGTTGAAGGTGGTCATTCCTTCTGGTACCAATGACATAGACAGAGTTACTCGTTTGAAACGTATCCAAATTATTAACAGCAAATATCATCAATGAGAGCAAATATACACAAGGGATTGGTAGTATGTCAGGCTTTTTAAGTAAATCTCTACATGTATGAGTTGGGCCCACTCCCATCATCATTCTTATTATTTTCTTTTGTATAACAAAGACCTTATGACTGTCTTCAGGCTTTTTAAGTAAATCTCTACATGTATGAGTTGGGCCCACTCCCATCATCATTCTTATTATTTTCTTTTGTATAACAAAGACCTTATGACTGTCTTATGTATTTCCCAAGCATATTATTCCATATTTCACAACTTAATAATAATATGCATAATATGCAGCCTTAAGACTATTTATATTTAATATATGTGAAGCAAAAAATCGATATGTCCCTTACAAGTCAGATAATTGTCCAGCTGGAAACTGAGAAATGTTATCGTTTCTACTTCTTTCAGCATTTTGTTAAAAAACAATATATATAGAGGGTACCTCATAGCTGCTGTTGGGGTGAATTTTATCATTTTTGTTTTATCCAGATTTAACACTAATTGATTATTTTGAAACCACGAAAACATATGATTGAAAACAACATCCAGTTTTGTGTTTAAATTATATTAGTGTTTAGCTGTGCAAAGAATACTTTTGTCATCTGCAAACATAATAACTTCCGAAATTTTACTTATTTCAAGGGGGAAATAGTTTATGTATATGGTCCCAACACCGATCCCTGAGGCACGCCACATCCAACAATTTCCCAGTTAGAATAATATTTATTATTTATATAATTCAATTCCACTTTTTGCCTCCTATATTGGAGGTAAGATTTAAACCATTGCAGTAATACACCCTGTGCTCCATAGTACTGCAGTTTCATTAATAGAAGATCATGATTAACGCAGTCAAAGGCCTTGGCTATGTCACGAAATATACCAGTTACATACTCTTTTCTATTCCAGGCTGTAAGTATTACATTGGTTAATTTAAACATTGCCATTCAGATCCTCATTCCTAATCTTTTTTTCTTGTAATAACACAAACTTCGTTTATTAATGTGAGTGTTACATCTTTTAACATTGTAGTTAGCTGTAATGTATTGTGATAGTGGCAAAGAAAGCATCCACATTTTAAGGCAGGAAAGGATCCTCTGTTTGTATAAAGTGCAAATGAATTGTCTTGCAGTGGAGATGCATGAAGGTAGAGATTGCCTGGAAAGGCAGCAGATATTGTGGTATATGAAGAGCGCTATCTTCTATGACTGTGTTAGTTTACCGACGTTTTGGAGGGATGTACTGCCTCCATCTTCAGGGTTGAGGAGAAAGTAAGTAAGCGTGCTGCATACTTGGTGTACACTAAAGATGGCAGCAGTACGTTCCTCTGAGAGGTCTGTAAACTTCCACCAGACTACACGGCATCACAGCTCTTCATAGTCACTGCTGCAGGAATCTCAGTACTCACACTGTCATATCATGTGTTCCTGCCTTTCATTTGGAACATCTCTGCACTGAGTTCAGCTATCCTGACTGAGGTTATTGTTCTGTTTGTCAGTCTCTCCAGTTACATACTTGGCTTTGACACTTAAATGGACCAGAGTTACTTCCTTCTCCACCATTCATATCTTACCTAGTGCTAACTAACATGCTAATGACAAAGGCATCTATAAGTTAAGACCTGACTGTATTGTTTTAGGGTAATCCAGTAGCAAAGGAGTCCATGTACTTTGCAGTAAAAACATGCAGCAAATATCACAAGGACAGGATACCTGTTGTGAAACATACTTGGGCAAAGTATGTGCTTCATATCGGCTTTTACAGCGAAAGCAAAGGTAATGTTATAGTAAAATTTCAGGGGTTTGAGGGTGTAAGGGGGAAGTGGGAAACTTTGTATTAATCACATCAAAAGATTCAGTATAAACATTATAGCTGCTGGAGCAAATGGTCTTGATTGTTTTAATGCCACACCATTCAGAGAAAGGTGGCAATTTGCAAGGAACCCATTGCCTCCATCTTCAATCCAGAATAACATACTCTTCATGGTCACTATTGTGAGAAACTCAAATCCAGCATTATAGCCCATTTTCATGAGTCACACCTTATACCCAGGGTATAAGTATATAAAACATAAATTCATAACACATTGGAAGCATATATTTTTACCTGCATGTTAAATCATGATTCTGAATGAAAATTACCCATGGACTACTACCAAATTACACAGTATCACAATCCATAAAGTGTTACTCTTCACAAAATAAGATTTCTGAGTCTTTAAAATAATAACACATAAGATGAAATGTCTTACAAGACAAAGAATTCAATTTAATATCTCACACACACAAGCCACATAACAAAACTGTTAATAGCAGTACATCGACATCATTATGAGCTGCACAAATAACACGCATAATATCCACTCTGCCAAAGGGATGGAACACGAATAAACCGAAAATGAGAAATACTGAAGCAAATATCTTTTAAGCAAATGGACGGCGACCACAGTGGAAAACATTAAGATGTTAATTAATTTTAATTGTTTTAATTAGGAAATATCATGTTCACATGCAGTGTGTAATTTTGACATACAGTGCAACAATTTTGGCAAGATAGACAACACCTGATGATGGCTGTATGCGGCCAAAACATGTAGTGAGGAAGGAGGTTGACTAGATAATAAGTTGCCTCTATTACCTAGATTTCTAGACAAGAGAAAAAGTCCAAAAACCCAGTAATTCTGAACAGTCAGTTGCTTGTGGTATGCGGCACCTAATTAAGTACAGGGTCATCTTGTTAATTTACATCTACTAGCATTACTAGCATTTATCTCTTTTCAGATGCATCAATCCCAACAATTGATTTAGGAGTCCCAAACACAGAACATGGGCACTGTGGAAAAACAATGGCCATGTTGAAACATATTGCTATGATCGCTCCATCCTTACAAGACGTTAGGTGGGTTGTCATAGCAGATGATGACACTATTCTGAGGTAAGTGGTTAAATGTTTAATCAGTTACAAGGGAGAGTCTGTACATACGTCACAAAGGTAAAACTGCCTGTAACAGGCTGCGAAGGCCCATGGGGGTGTGAGAAGTCAAGGCTCCCCCATCTTATAGACAATTGGCTCACAGATGGCAGTAAGATTGTCAGCCTTATGTTTTGCTGCCCTTTCCCCCCAGGAATCTTCCTGGTACTCATTTCTATTAGAGGCCGAGTTGACCCCAGAACAATCGAAGAAAATCCAATGACTTCTTCAGGAATCAAACGTGCAATATGTCAGCTTGCAGCTTAGTGCCTCAACCAACTATACTACCGCTTGCCCCTAAATAGGTCATGGATGAAAATGTAAAACATGTGATATTCAAATCTGGAGAAAACATCTATTTCTTGACATATCCTCCACCAACATTATACACTTGTCCCATCACTTTACAAACGCGATGAAACCCACAGTGCAGGAGTCTTTTGACTGCTGTCTCAGCCACTTCAGCACCTGATCGGGCATCATCTGTGACTTCCAAATGTCCTTGAGAGGATGTCTTGACCCATTTGTGAACTGCTTTATGCAACAAATACTGCCCACCGTAAACAGGGAACATTTCAGTATAAATATCCTTTGCACTGAGTCCTTTTGCACACAAAAAAAACTGAAACCAGCCTCTGAAATGTGCATGCATATCTGCTACCTAGATTGTCATGAAGCTGGACTGTGCTGCTACCTGGTGATATGCATAGAAAACCTATTAAAGCCATTACAGCTGCTTTACTTCCATTTCTGATCTATTTACTGACTCTCCCTCATGTCTTCTTCTTATTGCTTGTGTCACATATATAGGACAGAGGTGACTTCAGTGTAGGGATACACACACAATAACATGACCAAGGTAGCTGTCTTCGAAACCACAGGCTTCATTTCCTATCTTGTCAGAAGTTTATTTTTCTCGATATCACTAGGATGTACCTCAAACATCATGTGTAGGCAAAGATAAATTTATCCCTATGCCTGAGTTAATTTGTTATTGTTATCTGAAGTTTATTTATTGATCTGTCAATAAGTCATCAAAGAATTGGAAAATAGTGACTGGAAAAGATTATGGAAGACAGTATCCATGGCCTAATTGAATTGAATTGAATTTATTTACATTCTATAAATCCTAAGCAGGTTAGTACCTTTGGATACAGAACAAGTCAAAATGTTACATACATAAGTACAGGCAATTTTAGCTTAAAAATTAATATAACTTAATTTTACATCATTCTCTATTTACATTGAAGTATTCATCTAAAGAGTAGAAGGAATGAGCATGTAGATAATTCTTTAACTCTGATTTAAACTTTTTAGTATCATTGCCCAAGTTTTTAATACTTTGTGGCAGATTGTTGAACACTTTTATGCCAGTAAAGTAGACTCCTTTTTGATATACTGATAAAGTTGATGAGGGTAGGTGGAAGTTGTATTTTTGTCTAGTATTCATGTTATAGACATCAG